AACATCCTCCGTGATCTAGATAATTACTGCCGCAGGACGGCAAATGGTCCGAGGTCCCCAATGTTCAGGCCTTCTGGTATTTGCGCTCCCGCCCCTCCCTTTGCGTCAATTGTTCTACCTCTCAAATCCTCCTTGCCAAGCAAACATCTCCTCCATCCAAAACCTCAGTCCCCTTGGATTCCTCCCCACTAACCCACCCTCCCGAATCTCTCGCCTCTCTCCCCTCCAGAACTCCTCTCCAACCTCCACCTTACCCTGAAGCGGTCCCTCCTCCTCCCGAAGCGCTCAGGCGCCTCCAACCGCTCTCCCGCCTCCCTCAACGGTTCCTCCTCCCACGCCCCTTGCTTCGCCAATTAGTGCACATACACGCTCTCACGACTCCCAAGATTTAAATCTCCTGTGCCCTCTGAGGGAGGTAGCAGGAGTGGAAGGACTGGTCAGAGTCCATGTCCCTTTCTCTCTCCAGGACCTCTCTCAAATTGAAAAACGATTAGGCTCCTTCTCTGCCGACTCCTCCCACTACATCAAAGAATTTCGCTACCTATCTCAAGCTTACGATCTAACCTGGCACGATATCTCTGTGGTTCTGTCCTCTACCTTAACCCCTGACGAAAGGGAAAGAATTCAAACTGCTGCCGGAAACCATGCAGATCAGGTTCACCTTACCGACAACTCCATGCCTGTCGGAGCGACTGCCGTACCTGGCACCGATCCAGACTGGACATATCAGGATGGCCAAGATGGCCGCCGTAAACGCGACCTCATGATCCAATGTCTCCTGGCTGGCATGCAGGCTGCCGCTCATAAGGTAGTCAATTTTGAAAAAATTAAAAGAGATAACCCAAGAACCTAACGAAAATCCAACTGTCTTTCTCAATCGCCTTACAGAGGCCTTAACTCTATACACCCGGCTGAATCCCGACACCCCAGCAGGGGCAGCGGTCCTAGCCACCCATTTTATCACCCAATCAGCCCCGGACATCCGAAAGAAATTAAAACGGGCAGAAGACGGCCCTCAAACCCCTATTCGAGATCTATTAAAAATGGCCTTTAAAGTCTATAATGGCCGTGAGGATTTGGCAGAATCCAGCCGACAGGCTCGGCTGCACCAAAAGGTGGCCCTCCAAACCCAAGCCCTTGTAGCCGCCCTAAGGCCGGCCATCTCCCGTGGATCACAGCATCCACGGGGTCCGCAAAAGGCAACCCCGCCAGGTGTCTGCTTCAAATGCGGAAAAGAAGGCCACTGGGCTCGCCAGTGTCCCAATCCCCAACCTCCTTCTAAGCCCTGTCCCAGCTGCGGGCTAACGGGCCACTGGAAGAGTGACTGCCCTACGACTGGCCCTCCCTCAGCGTCTCCATGCGGGGAGCAGGCCGACCCAACGGCATTACCACTCGAACTGCTGGGATTGGCTGACGACTGACGGCGCCCGGACTCGAAGACCCCCATCACCCTCGCCGAGCCCAGGGTAACGCTACAGGTAGCGGGTAAGTCCATCTCATTTCTGATGGACACGGGGGCTACCTATTCGGTCCTGCCTACTTATTCCGGGCCAGTTTCTCCTTCCCAGATCTCGGTCATGGGTATTGATGGCAAACCATCCTTCCCACTCCAGACCGGTCCACTCCCATGTCATATCGAAGGACTCCCTTTTACTCATTCTTTCTTAGTCATACCATCCTGCCCAGTTCCCTTGCTAGGCCGAGATGCCCTTTTCCACTTAGGGGCCTCCCTCCAGCAGGTTAGACTTGACCCTAAGGTCCCCTCCTCCCAACTCCTGCTTTCTCTTCTTGGCCTGTCTCTAGAACCCTCCCCCTCCTATCCCCCTCTTCCAATCACACCGAACCCAATCAATCCCCAAGTCTGGGATACTTGTAAGCCCATAATAGCAACACACCATTCCCCCGTTCTCATCCGCCTAAAGGACCCCTCCAAATTTCCATCAGGGCCCCAATTTCCCATCTCTGAGACTCACCTTAGGGGCCTACAACCTATTATCACCAGACTCCTAAACCAGGGACTCCTTATCCCCACTGACTCTCCCTGCAACACCCCCATCCTGCCTGTCCACAAGGCCTCTGGGGATTATCGCCTGGTCCAGGACCTCTGAATAATCAGTGAGGCCATAATTCCTCTCCACCCAGTAGTACCAAACCCATACACCTTGCTCTCCCATATCCCCCCATCCACAACCCACTTTACGGTTCTGGATCTCAAAGATGCCTTTTTCACTATCCCCCTACATCCCGACTCCTATTTCCTCTTCGCCTTTACCTGGACGGAGCCGGATACCCATACTTCCAGTCAGCTCACCTGGACAGTTCTTCCCCAGGGCTTCCGCGACAGTCCTCACCTCTTCGGTCAGGCGCTGGCACAGAACCTCAATTCTTGCTCCCTTACCCCCAGGACACTCCTTCAATATGTAGATGACCTCCTCCTTTGTAGCCAGTCTCTCAGCCTCTCAAGACAACATACTGCAGACCTCCTCAATTACCTTGGCCCTCGCGGTTATCGGGTCTCCCCAGCCAAGGCTCAGTTATCTGTATCTTCTATAACCTACCTGGGGCTCCACCTTACCGCTACCACAAACGGTCTAACAGCCGACCGCACCCGGATTATCCGTGAACTCCAGCCTCTGGAAACAGCGGAACAAATTCTCTCCTTTTTGGGCCTTATAGGATTTTTCCGGCACTGGATCCCTAACTTTGCTCTCCTCGCTAAACCCGTATATCTAGCCGCTAAAGAAACCCCTCAAGGACTCCTCACCTCTCCTTCCGCCGTTCGATAGGCCTTTCTCACCCTCCATAACGCTCTGATATCTTCTTTTTCCATTTCTCTGCCCAACCCAAACCCGACCTTTTCACCTTTTTGTGGATGAACGGGCCGGAATAGCCACTGGACTCCTTGCCCAGCCTGTAGGGCCTTCCTACCACCCCGTGGCTTACCTCTCCAAACAGCTAGACCCAACCATTGGGGATGGCAACCATGCCTTCGGGCCCTAGCAGCGCAGCCGAACTGACCAAACAAACACTCAAACTGACTCTGGCCCACCCACTAAGCGTGCTTTCGTCCCACCGGCTGGTCGACCTCCTAGGCCCCTCCCGCATCCAGGAGTTCCACCTACTGTTCATTGAAAACCCTGCTATCTCCCTCGACCTCTTCCCTCTTCCCCCCGCCTAAACCCGGCCTCCCTCTTGCCTATCTCCGATACCGGGACCTCCCCTTCCCACTCCTGCCCCCAAGTCGTAGAGGCCCTCAGCCCGCCGAGAGAGGGACTCTTTGACACCCCTCTTTCAAAACCGGACCGCACCCTCTTCGTAGCATGCTTGCTCCCTGTTTTCTTAGGTTCCTTCGCAGGCGCATGGAGGAAGTCTCCCGGGTGGCCACAAACCAAATGCTCCTCGGTCCTTACACCTTGCTTCCTACAGAACCCCCCACTGGTCTCCCCTAAGCCTCGGACCTCTGGTCGCCCGACTCCCCTTTCGACGCCCCAATTCAGCATGAAGTAGCCAGAAATCAGAACGCCGCCCCATTACACCAAAGATGTCTGGGATATAAGGCCAACTGGCCCGAGGCAGGGGAACACAATCAGATTCACAGGTTGCATCAGACCGAAATTCTCCCGACCACCCAGTTCCAGGAACTGACCTGGGGACTTTGAACCCAGCCCAGCCTTCCCGCCTTTCGAGGGGCGGGACTAACGGTCCCCCAGGATACCCGAAAAGACCACCAAATAAGGAATACCCTGCGCCCTCCCAGACTCACCACACCCCTTTCTCTTGTTCCCCTATAAAATCTTGCCCAGCCCTCGCCCGGGTACAACTTCTCTGGCCCCTTTCTCTCGGACCAGTGAACCTCGCCCGGGAGCGCTCCCTAATAAAGCTCACTTGAAGCTTTCCTCTGTTTCGCGGTGCCATTTGTTAAGATCCGACCTTACAGTCTCCAAGCGACCAGTTCCTCCTCCCGCAGAGACGCAGTGTGGGTAGGCAGGGAGTGTAGTGTCACACGCTGGCTGAAAGATGCTTTTTGCAGTCAAAACCAAAGCAAGGTGCATTTGAGGGGCTTAAAGCCCAGGGTACAACCCAGCCGAGAGAGTTGTTTTATTTAGAGAGGCTTCTCCGAGTCCCAGGCCTGCAGCAAGACCCAACAAAGGTTTCCAGTGAGTTGGCAAGATGTATTCTATTCTACTCAGGACTCTGGGAGATCCAGGGTTAATTTATTTTATTTTTTTATGAACTTTTTTTATATATAAATCTATTTGTTTAATTTTTGGCTGCAGTGGGTCTTCGTTGCTGTGCGCGAGCTTTCTCTAGTTGCGGCGAGCGGGGGGCTACTCTTTGTTGCGGTGCGCGGGCTTCTCATTGCGGTGGCTTGTCTTGTTGCGGAGCACGGGCTCTAGGCACGCGAGCTTCAGTAGCTGTGGCTCGCAGGCTCTAGAGCACAGGTTTCAGTAGTTGTGGCTCACGGGCTCTAGAGCGCAGGCTCAGTAGTTGTGGCACACGGGCTTAGTTGCTCCGCGGCACGTGGGATCTTCCCGGACCAGGTCTCGAACCCGTGTCCCTTGCATTGGCAGGCGGATTCTTAACCACTGCGCCACCAGGGAAGCCCTCCAGGGTTAATTTAAATAGGCATTGGCATGAACTATGGGTTAGTAAATAAAGTAATAGTTGTACACTTTTAGTTCATGTTCCGTGTATTTTTTACATACATATGACTAGCTATTTATGTGGTTACTCTCGTGGACTTTACTTTCAATAGGCAAACAGGTACTATACTTGAAAAGCGCAGTGTACTTTGAGCCACTGAATCACACCTAAGGGGATCCCTCCTTTTCAGACCACTAGCCCAGGTGTCGGTGCTGTCGTGGTGTGTTGCGTGAAGATCAGGCACCATCCTGGGGAGACAGCAGCCTCTGAGGAGGTGCTATGCAAACCGCAAAATAGCTATGAATATCATAGCCCTGGACTGACCAGACGTCTGCACTCTGCTTGTTCTTTCCTAGTTTCGGCGCTCGTTTGGACTTTCACAATCACAGATGACAGCAGAGGTAAGTTTTTTTTTTAACTGATGAGAAAAAAGGTAAGTTTTAGTCGTTAAGGTCTTGGTGTCTCATTGCATGATGGAGAAGACCAAAGAAATACATCAGAAAACTAAAGGTAGAGCACCATCGTGTGTGTTGCTCGTCATCTTTTGTCCCAGGCACTGAGGAGTGGGCCGCCAGCACGTTTAGGGGGCAGAGAGGGAGGGACCGGAGAACATCATGTTCACCAGTTCATGTGGTTCTTGGCAGGCGTTTCTAACTTGGAATTAGTCATTTAATCACAGTGGGTAGAAAGGCCCAAGATGATAGACATCGGGTCCTCTTGCCCCCTGCGTCTCATCTAGAAATGATCATTATTAGCCTCTGTCCCCACTTTATAATGGGCCGTAACCTCAAACTAATTGTCCTCTGTGTGCCTCATGCGCATGTACTTCAGAGCAAGTGTGCACATGCCTGGCGCCCATCGTGGGCGTGGACCCGTCTTATATTCTCCTTGGCCCCGTAGCACCCTCGTGGAGAGGAGATATTTAGTAGATACGCAGTGAACACCCGGTTATTTGATTGAACGTTTGAAGGTTTCTCTTGAGGCTGAACCACGTGCTGTCTAGCCTACATTTTTTTTTTGTTTTGTAGCCGGCAACAGCGCTAGCTGTGGAGTCTTGGCCCTCTCATCCGGTCTACGCAAGATACTGGCAACATTACCATCAAGCGATGGCGTGGATGCGCTGCCACCAGAATGCCTATCGGAAGGCCATGGAATCTTGCTTCATGTCCCCGTGGTACTCTTCTGCCATGGGCCTTCCCCAGATCGCTTATGCTAAGGAGGGCAGAAGGCCTCAGTCCTGCTACGAGCATCCCCCAGCCTCCTGGGACTCCCACCACAGTCATTCACATGCTGGCGGGCGTGGACCACATCCACGCGGCAGAGAAGAGCCAGCTTGGTACGCAGAGGAGGAGAAGGAGAAAGAGAGCGAGTCCGACGATGGCGGCATAGAATGCGACGTGAGCAACATGGAGATCACGGAGGAGCTACGCCAGTACTTCGCCCAAACCGAGAGGCACCAGGAGGAGCGCCGTAAGTGCAGCCCGCCCCTCTCCACGGCCCCGCCCCGGGCCTTGTCTCCTGCCCACATTTATTTTTATTTATTTATGTTGGCTGCCCTGGCTACTACTTTTTGCACGCAGGATCTTCATTTCAGCACTCGCTGGCCTGCAGGCTTCTTAGTTGTGGCATGCATGCCGGATCTAGTTCCCCAACCAGGAATTGAACCCAGGCCCCCTGCTTCGGGAGCATGGAGTCTTACCCACTGGACCACCAGGAAAGTCCCATCCTGCCCTCGTTTATAACCTTCTAAGTCCTCCCTTGGATACAGATAATATTTCAAACCCAATCCTTAGCCTGGAAAAGCTCTGGTGATGTGGTACCTCACTTATATTAGTTTTCAGGGTTGTTTTAGTATAGGACTTTTTTTTTTTAGTTCTAGAACAAAACTTATCCTAATAGTACCTCTGCCATTTACTGAATTTCAGACACTACACCAGAGGAGTGTGTGTGTGTGTGTGTGTGTGCGCGCGCGTGCGCGCGCGCGCGCATTCCCTAGTCTACACAACAGTCCCTCAAGGTTTTAAGCCCATTTCACGTATAAGGAAAGTGAGCCTTCAGGAGCTTCATTGACTTGTTCTGTGGTATCAACTAGTAATTTGCTGTTAGGATTCAAAGCAAGGTGTGTGTGACTCCAGTTCCTGTGCTCGTTCCTCTAGCACAGACTCAGGGCTTAGGACCACTAGGTTCCTAAAATGCTGCTGCCGCCTCACTGGTGCACAGCTCAGACTGCCCTGGTGCTGCAGAGCTACCGGGTCTTAAATCTCAAGCTCCCTCCAGAGTAGACACCAGTGGGAACCTAAAAAGAATAACAAAATGCCTGGTATTTACCCTCTCCGGTTTGATTCTGTGCCATGGCTGTCTGTTCCTGGGGTTAGAGAATTGTGATAATGGTCTTAAATCTTCAGTCAGAAAGCAGGAATTTTATGTTTTTAATTTCTTACTAACTTGCCACAAAAAACTAAAAGTGCTTTTTGTGCTTTCCTTACTGTTAAGATTCACCAGCCCATTTACATTTTCAGTGTCTCTAACAGACATACAGATGCTTTCCTCCCTATTACAACATGCCATCTCAATATTGTTTTTATTGAGTTCTAATTATATATTTTGCCTAGAATTTTCTAGTAAACGGAGACATAGAAGCCTGGGGATGGGTGCATTTCATTTACATCTTGATTGATCTGTGTTTTCCTAATGATGGGCGAGCATGTATTGATTCCCCCACTGGGTGCCAGGAACTGAGCAGTGGGCTGTGTATAAAGTCTCATGCCCTTTAGTGTCTGCCTATGATTCTTCACTACTCATTCAGTTTTACTTCCCTTCTTTTGATTAAACCTTTGACTTCTTTGATGCATATTAGAAAGTATATGCAAACAAGTATTTTTAAAACAGTACTTTCTATTACACATAGAATGCATGTCTTTCCTTGATCTTCGGGAATAAATTTTACCTTTTTTCAAAATACATTTGAAATAACAGTCTAATTTAAAAGCATGTAACAGATGAGGGAGACTTGGCATTGGAGCATGTCCACGTGTGGTTGGAATGCCGTTTGTTACAGCTTTTGAAAAAGAAAATATGATGGAGACAGAGCTTGTTTCTGTTGTCCGTACCCAAAGGCAGAAGAACATGTTTTTCCTGCCAGAGAGAGTGCCACATTTATGATAGAAGTTGTAATTAAGGATGGGAGCAAACCCCAGCCATCTAAAAGGCCATTTTGAATGACCTGCTAATTTAAAATGAACCTGACAGAGTTATTCAATGAAAAGTAGAGATGAATGATGTGAAAATAGAATAATGAAATGTGTCCTTCACATGTCAGTTGAGTTACAGATGTCTGGTTAAGAACCATCCCTGTTTCTGCGTCTTGCCTTTGTCAGGTAGGTTAAGAAAAAGTCATGAAAATTGCCTGCTAAGTTTTGCGTGGCACTTAATATTATTTTGAATGAATGAATGAAGTCTTTCAGTATTAATTATGAGCCTTAAATAAGAACTTTTCAAACCTTATCCCATGAAGTGCTAAACTTGCTGTGGTTCTTTGGGCCATTTTACAAGGTGATGTAGGCATTGAATATTTTATAAACTTGAGGAACTGCATGTTTCTTTTGATATCATCCCTAAATCTGCTTAGTTGACATCAGGGCTCCAAGTCCTATTATCGTCATTGTTATGGGTTGAATTGTGTCCGCTAAAAAAAAGATTTATTGGAGTCCTAAACCCCACCCAGACCTCAGGATGTGACCTTATTTGGAGAGAGGGTCTTCACAGAGGTAACAAGTTAAAATGAGATTAGGGTGGGCCCTGATCCAGTATGACTGGTGTCCTTATAAAAAGAGAAAAATTTGGAAACAGAGCCAGACGCGCACCCAGGGAGAATGGCACGAGAGGACTGGAGTTCTGCTGCCACAAGCCAAGAACTGCTAGAAGCTGGGAGAAAGGCCTGGAACAGACCTTCCCTAGCGCCTCTGGACGGCCATGGCCCTGCTGACAGCTTGATCTCAGACTTCTGGCCTCCCCAGCTGTGAGACAAGACATTTCTGTTGTTCTAAGGCACCCAGTGTGCTGCACTTCGTTACAGCAGCCCTAGGAAACTAATACAATCACCCTGTCAGAATTTTCTTTGTTTCCAAATGCAGTCTGTGAGTGGGACGTCAAGTGAACCACACAGGTCTTGTCATTGCTGTGAAGAAAATCTGGTACATGTTTGTTTTACCGTGATCTAGATAGCAAACCAACAAAAAAGGGAATTTTATGGAAACCCTTACAACCTCCATCCCTACTCACCAATACTTACATTATTGTTAGTAGAATTATACAGGAGTAGCTGTGGCAGGACCGCTGGAATTACAGGCTTCCAGCCCCACTCCAGCACTTACTAGCTGGAAGTTCTTATCCTGTGCACCGCTACCCTGTGCCTCAGTCTCCTCATCTGTGAAATGGGGATTCTAATGAATGGGGTGCTAACTATGAAGATTAAATGAGATAAAAGTTATACAACAGTGCTCTGTACGGAAGTCAGTGCCCAAGGAGTGTTGCTTGTTATGGTTTGTTGCTAATAACTCATCCTTTAACATGGATTATTAACCATGAACTGGCTTTACTCTGATACTGTCTTGATTAGTGCTTGATTGTTATTTTTTTTGATTGAAGTATAGTTGATTTACAATGTCATGTCAATTACTGCTGCATAGCAAAGTGATTCAGTTATACATATATACACATTCTTTTTCATATTCTTTTCCATTATGGTTTATCACAGGATATTGAATATAGTTCCCTGTGCTCTACCGTAGGACCTTGTTTATCCATCCTATATATAAAAGCTTACATCTGCTAATCCCAAACTCCCACTCCATCCCTCTCCCACGTCCCCTCCCTCTTGGCAACCACAAGTCTGTTCTCTATGTCCGTGAGTCTGTTTCTGTTTCATAGATCAGTTCATTTGTGTCATATTTTAGATTCCACATAGAAGGGATATCATATGGTATTTGTCTTTCTCTGTCTGACTTCACTTAGTATGATCATCTCTGGTTGCTGATTAGTGAGTGCTTGATTAAGATTCTGCATATTTTTAATAAAGTATTCTCTGACTTCGAAAAAAAAGAAGTCATATATTTCTGCCCTAGGCAGCACTTTTCAAACTCTTTAATTGATTTAGAATATTTAAAACATAAATGAATGAAAAGCTTTGATATCTGTCAAATTGAGCCACTAATACAATTTTGTCAAAGTAGTCATTACCACAACTTTTAGTTCTGTTTCAAGGACATTCTTGCTTGATATAAGTTAATATAGTAAACTACACGGGCTGGGGAAATGAACCTGCTTCCACCTTCCTCATAACAGCACTAAACGCATTGAGCTTCCGCTACTTTGTGCTTTAAAAACGTGCAATTGTAGCATAATTCAAAATTGCTTGTGCTGGGATCTCTGATGCTCTTGTGTCCTGCAGTCCGCCCTGAAAGCTTTATCAGGTCCCAGGGAGACATGAGTGTTGTCTGGCGAGGGTGAGAACAAGGCTTTGGTGTCGGAATCTAATCTTCCTGCAAAAGATGCGGTCTCTGTGAGAAGCAGCCGCCAGGCCCTGACGCTGCCCCACCAGAAATAATGGGCAGCACTTCACCAGCGCTAGGTTTTTCACCAGCACTTTCAGTGGCGTATAGGATCAATTCGTGTTCCTTGGAGCAGTCATGAATGATGGCATTCAGACATAAGTAATTGGAATGCCCGTGGTGCTTTCCAATCCATTACCTTCGCTAGAAATGCTCACAGAGGCTTAGTTACATACACAGTTGGGAAATGTTTGAATAAAGAGATGAGGGACCTGAGTCATGTGAATACTCGGTTGAAGTTGTTTTGCTCTTTGAGCCACTAGAAGCTACTTATTCAATTAGGACAAATTCAGCCCTGAACATGAATCATTTAGAGAACACAGATTGTATAAAATATTACTAGCAAGGGAAAACGTAGCTAAACTTGAAAGATACAGCTTTTCAGGACTATTCACCTCCAAAGGAATGTATACGTTATATAATTCATCATCATCTGTGTCTTATTTAGTATTTTCTTGGGATAAAATCCTTTAGACTGGACAACGTGTTCTTGTTTGTGATTACCATTCTTCCAGACAGTCTCTAATTTCACATATTTCAGCAATAAAAACCAAAAAAATATTAAGTAGGGTAAACAAAGAACTCTTTTTTGTGCAGCAGTAACAGGCATGCTTTTGATTATATTATATGTCATCATTTCCTAGCGAGATATTGCTGTTATTTAAAACTTCACTGGTAACATTACTTATGGGAAAGTAGACAGTTGTGAAGTTTTAAAAGGTCAGCTGTGTTGTCAGTTATTTCTTAGGAAAAATGTTTATTGTTAGGTTAAGGAAGGTATCATTTTATAGTCATAAATAACCATCAGTTGAGACTGCGAGGTCCTCGTCCTAATACTTAGAGGGAAAATGAGTGAAAGTT